ACTAACAAGGGAAGTGTTGTTAGATCTAGTTATGAGAGATGTGGAAAGATTGACTGAAAGTAGACATTAATGAAATTCCGATTGGGTTTATGCCAAATTTGGGGAAAACCAAGAGAATATTTATGGTCAGGTAACTGCAAAATTAAAAACATAGGGAAGGAGAGGAAACTGTGCTTTGTATATGTCAACTTTGAGAAGGGATTTGACAAAGTGCCTCACAAGGTAGTGCAATGGGCAATGAGAAAGTTAGGGATTGAGCAGCATCTAGTACAAGTGATTATGGCATTGTCTGAGGGTTTGAGAACCTTTGTGAGAGTAAATGCAGATGAAAGTGAGAAATTTGAATGTGAAAGTAGGGTGTCCATTGAGGGTCTGTTTTGAGGTCCTTTCTGTTTATCGAGGTGTGAAAAGGCACAAGCGTTGTGTCAAAATTTTTAGGACTGGTCTGCTCAGAGAGTTGTATGTTGATGACTTATTGTTAATAGCATATAACATTGAAGATATAGAGGGAAATCCAAGAAATGGAAAGATAGAATGAAGTCAGAGGATATGAGAGTGATTATGGTGAAACAAAAGTAATTATTAGTGGTGTGGGTGATGGACCTGTGGTGGAAAGTGGAATATACGGGTGTCTAATGGCCAGACAAAACAAAATTCCCTGGCTTTTCCAGGTGTAAATTTGAAAAATTTCAGGTACATTAATTCGGCATTCTTTACGACAGAATAAAAAAATTAGAGGTTTTCAATAATATGTATATACTGTACTACAGGTATTGGAAAATTTAAAGAGGATATATATGATATTAAACAAGAAATTGAAAATCCTTTTGCAACCCACCCCAAGCCTAGTGATGAACATTGGCAAAGACCTTGCACCCCGACTCCAAATTTTTCTTCTCGGATTTGTGTGATTCATGTGGGTTGACCTGGACGTTCACAAAAAGCTGGAATTCTGGCAAAAACTGAAAATCACACTCCTGATCCAACTATATGACTTAATTATAAGAACGATTCATCTCTGACAATACTTATTGCAGAATTAGTAGGTATAACCTGTAATATTTGGTTATTTTAGGGGGTCCCCGACTTAAAAGCGTCCGACTTACGAATGCCCACCGATACGAACGGGGTTAAACTTAAAATTTACAGTAGCAATTTTATTTACCTGACGACTTAATTTTTACTTGAATTTATTGTATTTTGTCATTCTATTTCTTCTTTTCTTTTAAATTAAGTGATATTAGATAAATATAAGGACTTTGGCTAGGAGATAATGAGATTTTAACGTTTGTTCTGTAAGTACGGTATGCACATAGTGTGTGTTCCGACTTGCGTACAAATCCGACTTAAGAACGTCCTCAGGAAAGGAACTACCGTAGTTTGTAACCTGGGGACCCCGTGTTTGATCACTAACGTGAAATATGAGAGGTACACAAACAATTCAGTTATTGGAGTGGACTATTTACTGGAATTTGTTCCTAAAAGTTGAATTATTTACCTATTATACAGTACTGTACAGTAAAAGTCCAAAAATACGGATGCCAGAAATCCGGACCACCCGAGAATCCGGAGTTTTCGAAAACTCTTTTTTTTTTTTTTTTTTTAATAATTGAGCTGGCTTTTGTGTGTATGTGCGCATGCATGAGCGCCACAGCTGCACACCGACAACAAGCAACCACACGATCGCCACTTTAAAACAAGCAATCAACCTGTGACAACGTATGTAATTTTGAATCCTACTCTTTCCATTTACAGAGTACTATACAAGCCCATAATAATGGCTCCTAAAGTAGATAAACTTCGTTGTGTGAAGAGAAAAAAGAACACGTTGAAATTTAGTGACAAACTTGAAATAATTAAGAAACTAGAACGTGGTGTGAGCAATACTGTTGTAATGGAAACATACGACATTGGAAAGTCTAGAATTCACAGCTTTTTCTTTAAAACTGCTCGTTTTGATAAATGAAGCATGCTATATTTGCTAATGAATAAACTATCAAAATGTACCTGTTCATCTCTTCTTTATTCCTCATTAAATTTGAATTCTAAAAGTACTGACTGAGAATCCAGAAAATCCAAAAATCCAGACCGACCCAATCCCCAAGCAGTCCGGATTTTTGGACTTCTACTGTATATCATTAATTTGTGGTAAGATTGCTGTCAAAATAACAATATTTTGAGGTTGAACTGAATTAACATAAAATTCCAGGTTTATTTGTAAAATTCCCTGGCTTTTCCAGATTTTCCACCCCAAACAAAGTTCCCTACCTTTTCCAGGTTTTCCAGACCAGTAGACACCCCAAATATGGACATGTGTTGACAGTAATTCAGGATTGTGGACAATAGGTGTACCTGTAGTGGTGTAAATGGCAGACTGCTGGATGTTGTTGATTTTAAAAGTACTGTATGTACAGATAACAATGTGGCTTCAGCAAGGTTGGAAAGGTTCAACATTGGCAATATATTTCTGGGTTGTGTTGATGAGTTCTGCTAACTGGGTGATGTGGTTAGTGCTGAAGGTGGCCCCAAAGCTAGCTCATATACAAAAGTCATTAGTGACTGGATAAATTTTAGGGAATTGTTGCTTTTATTGACATCTAGAGCAGCTTCTTTACATTTGGAAGGAAAGTTGTATGTAACCTGTATAAGAATGGTGAGATGGATGTGCAATATGACATTAAGAGATGGGTAACCTTGTTCTGCACTAAAAGGGTACCTGGGTTTTGAGAGTATTGGTGAAGTTTTGCATAGAAGGCCGAGATGGGCATGTAAAGAGAAAGAGGGAAACAACTGGGGGTCAAGAGATATATGAATTTGACTGGAGGAAAGGAGAGCTAGGTGGGGCATGCCATGGTGACATGAGGAGAGGCCATAGAGATTACAGTATGCAAATTGGAGAGCGGTCATCAGGTAATCACGGATAACCATTAAAGTTTGGAGACTGGCTGTAAAACACTGTTGATGATGATGGTGGTTATTCCTAACAAGCAATGCTTCATATTAAGTATCCAGCTCCAATCTGAGTAAATCAATGTTTGAGAGTACAATACAGGCCACAGCACACCAAGTTTATCCAATGACTTTAAAAAGTCTGTCAAATATAATAGCAATTTATGCAAGTTCATTCAGCTGAAAATGTTGTATTTACAAAGAAATGATTTCAAAGGTAATTATCACAAGAAAACTCTAGACTAATCACTCAGAACAACACTCTTGACACAAAAATTCCAGTGAAGTCTAAATCTCATTCTTGGTTCACAAAACACACATTAAAACACTCATCGCATTGTGGCATGTGCCATGATGATGCCACATTCCCTGAATTCAATGTGAATCATCAAATATAAGCTAAATATTTTCAAACCAGGAAAAATAAATATTATTTTTTTTAAGTTAATCTAGGACTTCTAATTTGTTGACCTTGATTAATACATTCTGATTAACATGATGATAAACATATTTTAGACAATAAGTCTTTTGGTGTCTGTTGGAACTTGCATTTACAGTACAGTAGTACCCCGCTTAACGCGGTCAATAAAACCCACAGGGTACCGTGTTAAGTGAAAACCGCGCTAAGTGAACAACAGAACATATGGGATTAATTCCAATAGAAACTGGCCCGATCCCCAAACTCCACTTTTTCCGACACAATACCTATGTTCTAGTAAAAATAACATCTTAATTTCATGATGGTACATGCACACAATTAATACTTAAGAGAAATAGAGAAATACAGTCGCCAAGTTAATGTCCGTTCAAATAATGGACTCAACTCCCTCCCCCTCTTCTCACACTACACTGCTGGCTCTTCCCTCTCTGAGAAATTTTTGGGGGAAAACCACTAAATTTTAATAAATAATACCTCAAACTAAAGTTAGGATAATACAATTGACATTGCTGGATTCCTTGTAAGACCAGGAATATTTTGAATATAAATGTCATATATTTTGCACAAAAGATAACATATTTACTCAGAGTAAACATCATATCTAAAATTTGTATGTCTAATGCAAAATATATGATGTTTATATTCAAAATGATCACCAAATTGTAAGAATTCCAGCAATGTAAATTATATTCTGGCCGGGTAATTTGTATGAATTTTATGAGCTAAAACAAATATCTTCAGTTAATAAAAAAAAAAATATTCTTCACGACACTATCTGTCAATCAAAGTACCCCACCTTGCCTCCCCCCCCCTCTTCCAACCGCGCAGTCAGTCCCAACCCTCCCCCCCACCCCCCACCAATCCTCCCTTCAAGAGAAAGGTTGGGTGAAAAAACTAAATTTTAACATTTTGTATTAAATAATACCTCAGATTAAAGTTAGGATAATATAATTGACATTGTTGGATTCCTTGTAAGACCAGGAATATTTAGAATACAAATGTCATATATTTTGCACAAAAAATAACATATTTACTCAGAATAAACATTATATCTAAAATTTGTATGTCTAATGCAAAATCTATGATGTTTATATTCAAAATGATCATCATATTGTAAGAATTCCAGCAATGTAAATTATATTCTGGCCGGGTAATTTGTATGAATTTTATGAGCTAAAACAGGCAGTCAGGCAGGGTGGCGGGTGGCGGGAATCTAAAAATAGCTCTCGAGCCAGACACTCACGCGTATACGTGGAAAAAACCCGCGTTAAGTGAAAGTTCGGCTCTGGCGAGGCACCGCGTATACGGTAAAACGTGCTAAGCAAAACCGCGTTAAGCGGGGTAATACTGTACACTACTATAAATCTTAGCACATTTCCATGCACAAAGAATGTGGCAGAAAGAAGCTTAACTTCTGATAAATTTCATTTATCACCAATATGATAAGAAGGCTTGTTAACTATTCAAGATGATATGCATACTCTACAGTATTTAAAACACAATAATATTTCTTCTACCCATATTACATTGAATTCTTTAAGCCTGATCTGACTGACTATCTATATTATGACATCGTTCTCCATCCATAAACAGCTGTAAATTAATTAAGATACAATTTCTATTTGTTTATTTCAAGATCTATGAGAGTTGTACAAGTGATGGGAGAACCACTGCAAATTATATAATATTATATAACTTATCTCTGCTCACATCTTAGCCCTCACTTTGATAAGAAACAAAAATACTAAACACGCATTCAATTTTGCACTACCGTACACTTTGTCCTAAAACAACTTGATAAACTGAGCCAACAGGTAACTTGCTCTACTATGTCTCCTATCAAATTCTTTGTTAATATTCTGAAAACTGTGACACAATCAGCAACAGTTGGGTGTAAAAAAATTAGGATGTCCAAAATATTGCTATACTTTACCCTCTCCTTAATACAGAACACATTACTAAATAATTCTCAAAATACTCTACGAAGAACATAGTGGATAAAAATGAAAGGAATAAGATCAGTTGATGCTACAATTACTCTGCTTTCTTCTTGCCTGGAGGCGGGTGGTGGACAGAACGTAGTCTTGTGCCATTCTTGATACTCTCCTGGTAAGTCAGGAAGATCTTTGCATATTCTGGCTTCCTCTTGGCATAAGCTTGGAAGTCATCTGTTGGCACAATTGTTTTTCACTTGCTGAAATTTTAACATTTAGATACCTAGTACTATTCATTTAGGAAAATATAATGAATTTAGATGAATCTCTATATAAAACAGATTTATATCTTTTTTGGTAATTTCTTTGCAGAATTCTCACATGCAACAGATATGAATTAAAAGAGTTTTTTAATACATATAAAATACCTACTATATGTAATGTAGCCCTTGTTATCCTGATCGGCCTGTTTAAATATTCGTGTGGTCTCTTCCGGTGTCATGTCCAGGGAAGCACGAAGAGCCTTAACGAGGTCATCGAGGAGGATGTGACCTTTGCCCCCACGATCAAACAACTTAAAGGCCCACTTGAGGGTGTCTTCTGTATTGGCTGGCTGTGTATACTGACAATATCCTATCAGGTATTCACGGAAATCAATGGTGTCTGAGTTATCCTGAAAATCAAAACATCTTTATGAATTTTTGGAGGATACGCATTTTTTAACACCTAAATTAGCATATCACTTTTCTGCAAAAACAAAATATAAATTCAACAATTGTAAACACAAATTTACACATAGTAAATCCTACAACCAACAGATCTCTCCACTAAGTTTTATAGAACATAACATTGCTTCAGGAGGATTGACTTGCATAGTTCAGCTCAGACTTAGTTACAGTGCTAGGCAAGAGAAAATTATAGAGCTAGTTCAATTATATAAAATTCTTTCGAGTAATTTTTCTTTGTTTAGTGCAGTAATGATTGCCAACTTCATCCATGTGCTGAACTACCAACAAAACAAATAAATATAATATTGCATAATTATCAGTACAGTATCTGCTAAATGTTAAAAGTTGTGTTTGGCTTGACACCCTCAGTACGAGGATGTTGAGATACAGTGACTCCTCGTTTAACGAACGCCTCGGTTAACGAAATTTCGGTTAACGAACTGCCTTCCATAAGGATCTTCAATTCGGTTAACGAACAAAAATTCGGTTAACGAATTTCTTACGAACCGACCTCAACATGTTTTCGCTTGCACTGGCCGGGCAACCAGCTTTAGTATCAGTCCGCCAATACATTAATCGGTTCTAGGGCTTAAATTCCTAAGTATTTTAGTAAATATCAAGAAGTTTATACTATTCAATAATTTTAAAAGTTTAATATTCAATTTTTTAGTCATTTTAACAATTATTGAACATAATTGAAGGTAAAGTGACTAGTTTAAAGCGCAGCATCCAGCCTCTTAACACAGCAAACAGGCGTTAGTCTCTCTGTTTTCACTGGAGGTAACATCTTGCTTGAGACTCTCTTCAACTAAACGCTTTTTTCTGTGTTTCCAAGCAAATTATTGGTCATTTTGAAATATATTTTACATATTGACAATATATAATGCAGTACAGTGTTGATTTAAAGAAAATAATCTTGAAATACACCAAGAGAACTAAAATTTTATGGGTGAAATGGTGCCATGGGGTGACTTCTCTTCCACCCCAATGCCTTCTCTTCTTCCTTCTCCTCCACCCCCATTGTAATTCCCATCATCATCATCATCCAGGAGCCTTCTACATACACACCTCAAAGTAAGTGAACTTTTCTACCATTTTTGTTGAATTTAGGAAATTTTCGGTGAGCTGGAACCAATTACCCAAAAACCCATTGAAACAATGGTTTCGGTTAACGAACTTTTCGGTTAACGAACGACCTTCTGGAACGGATTGAGTTCGTTAACCGAGGGGTCACTGTACTTCCTTTACATATAGTGATCAACAAATAAAATTCAAGAACCTAGATAAACTAGTATCTATTGTATGTGAATAAAATGTAGAAACTGAAAAAATTACATAAACTTCATTCTTACCTTATCATAAACCTTGAACAGATCAACAAGGGCTGGCTCAGATTCAGGGATGCCTAAATACTTTGCAAAGTCTGAGAGTGTGATCTGTCCATCACTGATGGCAATGTCTGCATACTGGCTCAACAACTCCTCCTCAACATTCTTCAAATTCAAACTGAAACAAAAACCACATCACTGAGAAAGCTGAACTTTCACTTTACACAATACTGTACCATAAAATCTATACAGTATAGGAAATGTAAATTATTTTACTACACATAATGGTTGCATCCAGGGCTACAACAAAGAAATCAGTAAGATTGAGGCACTGATATTGATTAAAAATTCCTTTTGAAGGATGAATCCTTCTAAGCTTTCCATTTCCCATTTCTATTAACCATCTGGAGGCATATGATGTAAATGGATAAATGAACCACGATAACATATTTTATACTGTAGTTGAAGGAAAAAGTGATCTGCGAGATATTCTCTACTAGAACACAACATGGTAGAGCCTGTCATGGCCAAACAACCTCAAATGTTCTAGTAGCATGCTAAATTGTCCCATCAGACCAAAGTATATTACTGCCATACAGTTCTTTGCCCCATGAACTAAAATCTAGGATACGTATATATATTTTTAGCTCCAAGCTCAGAGGTTATTTCAAAGCTAACAAGATTCCAGGCTAACACTATGAAAACTATGAAGGTTCACCTTTGTCTCACACCACTAACCATCCATATATAAGATCTCCAAGCTTTTAATTCTCATATTTCCCACTGATTAAGAACCCATCATAGAGGGAGAGAGGTAAGTCAGGACATTCGTCTCTTCCCTTCAGTTATGAAATGGGTACTTCATGCGTCAACCCTCCATTTACTGCCTAAGGGTAAACTTTCAAACCATTATGAATGGGATGGAAGTGGGGTTAAGTCAAAGGATCCAACCAATAACATCCCATATGGAAAGTTTGCACTTCAAGAAAAAAATGGACTAACATGTAAGTCCTCTATGTGCCACACAGTCTGGGTTTGATATTGAAACACTTCATTTAACCAGAAAAATACAGATACAGAGTGGATAATAATGACATGACTGAGCCAATTGAGAGCCTGAGCTCTCTTAGTGGCACCTGATATATACTGTACATTTATCTCAAAGAGGTATAATGAACATTTAGTATCATCTGGAATAGTACACGTAACATGATGTTAGTAAGAGCATACAGTGATCCCTCGGTTAACAAGCGCCTCGGTTAACGAGATTTCGGTTAACAAGTTACCTTCCATAAGATTCTTAACTTCGGTTAACGAGCAATCCCTCGATTAACGATTTTTTTACGAGCCGACCTCAACATGTTTTCGCTTGCATTTGGCGGTCCACCAGCTGTAATATTAGTCCGCCAATACAGTAATCAGTTTTAGGGCTTAAATTCCTTACTATTTTAGTAAATATCAAGAAGTTTATACTATTCAAAAATTTTAAAAGTTTAATATTAATTTTTTTAGTCATTTTAACAATTATTGAACATAATTGAAGGAAAGGAAACTACTGTAGTTTCAGGCGCACCATCCAGCCTGGCAACACACCAAACAGGCGCCAGTCTCTCTGTCTTTTCAGTGGAAGTAACATCTTGCTTGAGACTTTTTTCAACTAAACGCTTTTTTTGTGTTTGCAAGCAAATTATTGGTCATTTTGAACTTTATTTTACATATTGACAATATATAATGCAGTGCAGTGTTGATTTAAAGAAAATAATCTTGAATTACACCAAGAGAACTAAAATTTTATGGGTGAAATGGTGCCATGGGGTGACTTCTCTTCCACCCCAATGCCTTCTCTTCTCCCTTCTCCTCCACCCCCATTCTAATTCCCATCATCATCATCATCATCATCATCATCCAGGAGCCTTCTACATACACACCTCAAAATAAGTGTACTTTTCTACCATTTGTTGTTGAATTCAGGCAATTTTCGGTGAGCTGGAACCAATTACCCAAAAACCCATTGAAACAATGGTTTCGGTTAACAAGCAACCTTCTAGAACGGATTGTGCTCGTTAACCGAGGGACCACTGTATAAGAATGCTACCACGATTATCACTTCGTTATTTATTTATTTTTTATTATTATAATTTTTTACATTTATATTATAAGTACGTACATACATATTTTACAGTGGGGTTGACGTACATTAATATGATAAGCGGGGAAAGTCATACAACATGGGTTGCATTAAGGTGAGACACGGGGACAAACACATTACAGTCAGTATCATGTCTTGATGGCAAATATATAATTATTGCAATGGTGATTTATATCTATCTACTTGACAATATACAATATAATGGTTTTGGTGGCACAATAAAAATACAGAAGCAGTAAATATCTCACAAGTGTCGTCGAATTACCACTGGATGTCCAGCCACTCTCCGGTAATTTCCCGACGATATGTATCATTGTAAAGGCAAAACAACAGGCAGGTAGATTTCCACCAAGTCACAGAAACACATGTGTGAACTGTAGGCCACTTTAATTGTCACTTAATCTTCACAAAACTGTTCACAGGGTATGTCTTCACAGATGGACTTATCAATTCAAATATAAACAGTCAGCACACTACCAGTGTACAATTCCTTAGTCTTTTCACTTTGCATCGCTCACAATAATTCCATAATACTTGCACAACAATTATCTTCAGCTGTCACTAGGTTTGTACTTCACACTTTGGGCAGAAGCGATCGATTAATTGACCTAGGCAGCCCACTACTGCTTATAAACCTCATCAGACGATCCTAGAACACCCTAGCATAACCCAGACAGGTCTGGGAAGTTACAGAAAGCTCTACTCTGATCGAGGCTTACAATAAGAAGTAAATCATAAGAATAAATGATGCAATACATTCTAGAAAATTCCTACAGTTAATACATCAATATATACACAAAAAATCTCCCTGAACTTGCCAAAATAACTGCTGCTTGGACTAGAAAATACTCAAAACACCTAGTTTACACACATTATAAGACCAAATTATGCCTCGGCATAACAATATCCTCGAATTTTAGAATTTTCAATTTAGCAAATTGTTCGTTTGTATGATCAGTTTTTTCAAGCAGATTATTGCCTGCACCACTCTCTTCAGTAATGACCAGGGATTGTGTTTTAGTGGTGCTAGATGCCCCCATAGAGCATGACAGTGTATCAAACCAGGATTGAGGACTTTATTACCACTAGGTCCAAATATGCTGTTACACAAACCTTCACAGAGAAAAAATTCCTCCTTCAAAGATAGAATTGATAGTCAAGAGAAAGCAAAACTTCTTCAAAATCAGTCTGCCTCAAGCCTTACACACTGCATTCAAATGACAAATTAGGCATTTTCCACATAAAAAAAATAGTTTTGTTGGACATAGTGACTGTGACATAATCTTTCTTAGTTTTCTCCTCTTTGTCATTTTTCTGGATCATATATGACCCCCCGCCCCCCCCCCAAAATGGAGTTTCTGGAATTTTCCAGAAAATGCACCTGATTTTCAACCTCAGAAAATTGTTCCCAAACCCAGAATTGAGAAAAATTTTCCAGAAAAATTCAGAGCAAATTTCAATGCCGGCTATTAGAGAGTTCCGAGGTATTCTGGCGAACAGATTTTACTGTACATGTTCACCCTATGTAAAGTTTCACACTTACCCAAGGCGATGACGAAGCTTCTGAAACTCAATGAGTCCAGTTTGACAAGGTAGATGCTTGAGCTTAGCCTTATACATTAATCGGCAGTCGTCGTAAGTATAGTCAGCTACAGGAACACCCAGAGCACTGTAAAAATAAAAACCAAACTTAGTGCAAATAAAGTTCATAAGCTTTTAAGCCTTACACCCATTTCTCAATTTTATGGCGGCCTAAATAAAAGTACAGTACAGGTTGTACCTCTCTAGTCCGGCAACCTCGGGATCTGACCGGTGCCGGACCATGGAAATTTCCGGACCATGGAAATTCACCCTTTTCCTGGATAGACAGTAACTTGTGCTTACGCTTGGAAGCACTAGCACCACTTTCTCTGCTTCATGGTCTCTTTGAAGACATATTGAAGGGTTAAATGTCATACAGTAGCTTCTCAAATTTCGCGAGTTTTTAATTCAACGTTTTTAATTAAAACACACACAAAAAACAAAACAATTCAAAATTTTGACGGCGGAAACTCGAATTTCGACGGGTTTGAACGGCTCACCAATGTTCAGACGTGCACAATCGTGTAAACAGAGTCATTTCTCTTATGTAAAAAAGACTCATTATTGTTTATTACAGAATGTCTTTTTGATTGAATTAATGTTTATGTGTGCAAAATGAGCAATACAATTCATTAATAATACGTAGAATATTAAAACACACGAGGAGACGAGACAGCATTGTTTTCGTTGATTACAAAACCAGTGACTGACTGGTTCTACATATAAAACTGAAGAAAATAAGACCCTGGTTGTAGCTGTAGTAAAATTAATATGGTTGTTTTAAGTAATGTTATTTAATGTTAATAAATGGAACAATAGAAGTAGCTAACGATAATGGTAAAGAAAAAAGAGATCGCATATGCAAGTGCGCACATGTGAAAACATATTGTCATTATTCTACATAAGAATATGAAAGCAACACTTATTTACTGCTCATATATACTGAAGGGTTAAATGTTGTACTCTGTATAGACAAGCAGAGAGAGAGAGAGCAGCTGAACTGCAGGATGTAAACAAACCTTAATTTCCCGCGGCTTTGTTGTTGTTGTTTTTTACGGGGATTAGCCCGCCTGGGCATAGGTCACTGACCCACATTGGGGCCTGAGGGGCGAAAATTTAATACTCCTGAAATAATAATAATACTAATTCAGATAAGTTAAAAAAAAAAAAAAAAAAAAAAAAAAAGCTGCCTATCTACCTATTGGACAAACTAAAATCGTTCCGGACCACGGGAGTTTCCGGACCACAGAATGCCGGACTAGAGAGGTACAACCTGTATGAGGCATTCTATGTGACAGTGACAAAAAAGCCAAATTTAAGTTTTGAAACAATATACGTCAGATTTTAAAAAACGAGTACCCGTACATACTGTATCGACAAAAAATTTCAAATACTTTTAAATTTTGATGAACTTGGCTTCATTTTGATGGTATTCTGTCATAAAATAAAGGCAAAATTAAGAGAACAGCAATAAGTAAAAAAATTGCATAAATAATAATAATAATAATAATAATAATAATAATAAACAGATCCATTATCATATATTGTACAAAACTCTATTGTTTTCACTTTTTTCCACAGTTCCACAAATTTCTGTTTCTCATGATTTGCCTGACTAGACTGCACCTCACTACCATAAGAACTCATTATGCATGTACAGTACAGTAATAAATTCATATAAATGACAAAAATAAGTTGCAGCATTAAAACTTACTCAAGTAAATACTGACTGACTGGGAAATAGGATGTAAACTCAATGCTCATTGGCTGACAGAGGATGAGATGCAACCACAGTGATGATTGGTTCCAGGCCAAGCTGTTTGTACAGTATGTACCTTCTTGTAGCACGGAACAGAACAAATTGCACACATGACCCACTGTCCCATCTAAAACAATGGAAAATTACCAGGAGATAAAGATGACTCCACCAAATGTGGACCGTGTATCACAAAAGAAACACATTTAGGGCCATGATGGACTTGTCACTGTCACACGGAATGCCTCACGTAATATTAAGTACAGTCAACCCTCACTTTACGCGGTCCCACATTCCGCGTTTCCACGGTGCCCTGCCAGAACCCAGGATGCTCACATTCCGCGGTGGGTGTACCCCTTTACACAGGTGAATTATAATTTTTTTATTTAGCTCATAAAATTCATACAAATTATCCGGCCAGAATATAATTTACATTGCTGGAATTCTTACAATTTGATGATCATTTTGAATATAAACATCATATATTTTGCATTAGACATACAAATTTTAGATATAATGTTTACTCTGAGTAAATATGTTATCTTTTGTGCAAAATATATGAAATTTATATTCAAAATATTCCTGGTCTTACAAGGAATCCAGCAATGTCAATTATATTATCCTAACTTTAGTCTGATTTATTACTAAAAAGGTAAACAGTCTGGTATTCCCACACATTCATCTGGTAGGGAGGGACTGGCGACCGACCACCTGGCACCATGGTGGGAAGAATATTTTTTTTTTTTTTATTAACTGAAGATATTTGTTTTAGCTCATAAAATTCATACAAATTACCTGGCCAGAATATAATTTACATTGCTGGAATTCTTACAATTTGATGATCATTTTGAATATAAACATCATAGATTTTGCATTAGACATACAAATTTTAGATAAAATGTTTACTCTGAGTAAATATGTTATCTTTTGTGCAAAATATATGACATTTGTATTCAAAATATTCCTGGTCTTACAAGGAATCCAGCAATGTCAATTATATTATCCTAACTTTAGTTTGAGGTATTATTTATTACTATACCTGGTTTTCCCCCAAAATTTCTCAGAGAGGGAAGAGCCAGCGAGTGTAGTGTGAGAAGAGGGGGAGGGAGTTGAGTCCATTATTTGAATGGACATTAACTTGGCGACTGTATTTCTCTATTTCTCTTAAGTATTAATTGTGTGCATGTACCATCATAAAATTAAGATGTTATTTTTACTAGAACATAGGTATTGTGTTGGAAAATGTGGAGTTTGGGGGTCAGCTGGTCTCTATTTCATTTAATCCCATATGTTATGTTATTCACTTTACGCGTTTCTCACTTTCCGCGGTACCCTGTGGGTTACATTAACCGCGTAAAGTGAGGGTTGACTGTATTGATCTTGGTTCATTTCTCCACTTTGCATATATGATACAGATCCTTTTGTTCCCTTCTAGCTCTTTCACTGTACAGCACAGCCACCTAAGGATATATCTTTTATAAACAATTAGTGTGGCTTGTCAAAAAAAATATTCACAATAACATGAACTAAAATTACTGTTCAGTCAGCGTCTGCTTAACGTATCATATACAATACTGTAATGTTACCATGTGTTCGATCTTGCATGTAAAGGTCCGTAGTTACTGTCCACACATTGTACTCGTGTTGAAGCTGTCCACCACTACATGCTTGGTTTTGATTAGTTGTGGTCACAGCTGGTTGTGTTTACATGGTGCTGTACAGGGTATTTTGTATTGTGACTGGATATTTCATTATACTGTACCCTACAGTACTGTACTATGAGTGAAAAGATAAAAAAACAAATGCTGCTGCATCTGGTGGTATTAACTCTTACAGGGTTTTCATACACCAGTAGCATCCCAAATATAATACATGGCCACTACGATTTTATCCACAAAAAGAATCGTAAAAATAATATTACAAAAATTAATTGTTCCATTTTTTTAGCTTATTATGAAGTAAGAACACACTTATCTTCCATATGAAAATTTCCTCAAGTTGCTGGTTAACATGCATAACGGTAGTCCAGTTGTAATGCAGTTGTGTGTGTAAGATAGTTCAGGTACCAGGTGTCACCACTGTTCAGTAAAGGAGGAATTCCGTAACTAACTGTGAGAATTTAACGATGTTTAATATACCTACACCTTCTCCCAGCCTGGGGCTAGCCTCCCTGTTTTCTGCTCTTCTCCTAAAACTCCACGCTGACTCTCAAACGATAACTGATATATCCCCCTCACCAAGTGCTGTCACCCCACGCTGGGCGGCTACAGTCCAGCATTTATACACCATTGGTTTATACAACATTGTTTTATTGCAAATCTTGTGAGTTTGTTTCCATAAGCTTAAGCACCTAAAGTAAAACCGCCATTTAATGGACATATATCTGATATATAGTCCATTATACTGTATAGAGGTTTCATATCTAACAGACTACATTATCCCCATATAGTCTGTTACATGCATGTTTCACATCAAACATGCCTCAACATAAAGGACTACACCCTCCTATATAGTCCATTAAATAGAGTCTTGCTGTATACAGTCTCTTATACGCTGTCACCTGAGAAAACACTGGCATATATTATTATAATGTCTACACAGGGCTGTATTGACACATTGAACCAACAATGCATTGCAATATGGATGCTCAAGTGCATAAGATATTATCATGCAAAGCAAACTAAACCAAAAGCAGGTTCAAAGGCTACTTGAGAAATATTTTTAGAGATGAAGACAATAGGTTTTCCCTCAAGCAAATATATTCCCACAATATTATAGGATGGTCAGAATCAGGAGTTACATAGACTCTCCCTCATCTGCCATCACTCATTCTTTCTAGCGGTCTTACCAGAGGTGTTCCATGACTTTCATTTGGTTTACCCATGTTAAGTTATACCATTACCCAGCAGCACATTTATCCCCCAAAACTAGTCGATGTCATACTTGCTCACACCTCTGCCTCTTGGGTGTCATCCTCCTCTTATCACACAACTCCTTCACCCTGTTCTTCTACCACCTGCTTGATTTTCCTTGCACTCTCTTACCATCCACTTCTGAGGTATAATCATCATCACTGTTTTAAGGATGTTTTCTGCGCTTGAGTAGATTCGCTGTGATTACCTGTAGCATGGTGCTCTGGCTGCCATCGGGTAAATTTGAAGTAAATTTTACAGCTGGATGCCCTTCTAATTGCCAACCCAATTTTACAGAGCAAAAACTGGGCATCATATGCAAGACTTACAAACACTTTCTTAGTTAGCAAGGCAAGGTTACTACTGCCAGAGGTAACCAAGGATTACTTACATACATCCTGAGCCATGAACATCGAGGAT